CATTTGAACTGAAGATAATCGAAGAAGGACGAAACGGTAGGACATCGCAAAAAAATTCCACCGATTTTTCCCATCAATTGGGTATGACCTTGCCGTGGTGGATGTCACAAATGTTGAATGGCTCGGAAGTAATTTTTTCCGTCAAAAAAAAAAAAAAAAAAAAAAAAAAAAAACGAAGCAATCAAGCACAGTGAACACTACGGTTGGTTTTATGTGCAACTCATGCCAAACACGTTGACATTTCGATTCGTTATCGACAGACTGTTCCTATTTTGTATTTCAGAGGGACAACACTATGAAGCTAAAATCGAAGTGAATCGGGGAAGCTGAGTTCGTAACCCAAAAAATGAAGCCGAACTGAACACAATGATCTCCGCGTCTATACCGTATACCATAAATCTGTACAACAATGCCGAAATTGGATGAGATAAATCTGCACACTCTAGTGTTTAATGGTAAATATTCCCGCCTATCACGCTACTACTACTACTAAACCACACCCCATCACTGGGCCTAGATCTGAGTTGCCCTTTTACAATTTGGGAATGATGTGGGCGAAAAAAAGTCTGATTGGGCTCTGTGACGCTCTTAGAGTCTAATGAGACTGGGACCTACTGCTTAAAGTGGATTTCGAACCATTACAAACATCCATGGGCCGCCTATCACGCTAGAGACCGAAGTTCGACTCTTCACGGGAAGGAATAAATTTTTTGAGGAGGGGAGGGCGAGCTAAGGACCCTCCCCCCCAGTAATGTGCCCAAAAGCTCTTATCCCAGCTATATTCTATACCATACAATGTACCCAGTTAATTGATTACACATGCAATCGATTAATTGGGTGTGCACTAACCCTTTCATATCTGTGAGCTTTCGGGTTCCAAGCTGGAGTGTCCTTCCGTCAAACTCGAATAAATGGGACTCCCAAATGCCTATTTCGTCTGGCGACGCGGCTTCTTGGGATGATAACAGATGATGCACTCGAATAACTCTGGTTCTGCTACAAGTGTGTATCGCATAGCAACGCTTCTACAATTTGAGCAACGATATGCAGCTCTAATTTCGAGATGATCTTAATAAATTGAATTTAATTTTAATTACTACAAAAGGATTCCAGAAATAAAGGTGTGAAAATGTGAAAATGTGTTATTATAATATTGAAAGTGTGAAAAGAATTAATATGTGAATTAAAGTGTGAAAATGTGTTATTATAATATTCAATGTGTGTGGTTAGGGAAAATAAAAAGATATTCCCGTGTACTGTTAAGATCGATAAAATAGATTCTTTATTAAATATATTTATTAAATTTTCTATTTTAAGGAATTCTGAAATTGTTCATTCTATATATCACGGTGTACATGCTCGAATGGCGCAGTGATTGCTTTTCAAAGCACTCTGCACTTCAATCATCATACAGATGCCTCTAATTCTCAAAACCTATACGAATGACGCAATACGCAGGATTTAACACTATACGTATCAACATTACTGATTGCTCATAGATGTTCTAATTGATGCGGGTTTTTTTCGAGATTTTATACTTGTGAACATTTTTACAAAAATATTCCATCAAAATAAAACGTCGCCCGGCTCTTAGATTGATCATGAACAGAATCAATGGTGACTGTGACAACGAGTATAAAGCGTACTCACATCCATAGTGCGACTGCCTGGTGGGATTTTTCCGGGTTTTAGCCCATACATCATACAAATGCCGGCAATTCCGGAAGAGTTTTCTTGCGTAAGATATTGCCCTCTTCCCATAACCCGTCGGTGGTATGGATAAAGGGAACGTGCGGTCCACCGATACTAAACAAAATGTTGTTGTTACAATGCAGTTGGCAATACAGAGACAGTTCATCTTGCGGTGCACAGCCTCTCCACAAGCAAGGGCTGCACCGCTGTCACTCATTGTGCACTGCGCAGGGGGGCACGTAGATAGATAGGCTACGGACGCTAGTCGCACGACCCCCCCACGCACAACTCTCTACGATCCTATGAGACAGGACATCTACGGTTTAAAGTGGATTCCGTATTCCACTACAAGCATCCATGGCACCGCAGGGGCTCGAGTGCCAATAGGTAGAGAGGCATTTTCAAAATTTATAGAAGCAGTATTTTTTTTTGTCACATACTAAAATTTTAAGTAGACTACTATAAATCGTAAATGTTATATATGAATTAGATGTGGAGGTTAAGGGGTCAATCCCCATAGGTATACGCCAGTTGCCAGTCATTATAAATTACTGCTCTATACTTCGATTTTCACGTCGGCCACCGGATTTCTTACGCGAAGAGAAAAAGAAAAAAAAGCATTCTTTTCTTAAGTGTTGCCCACCAGCATGAATTAAAGCCTTTTCCGTATTCGGAAGCTAGCGATCGCGTGCATATTTCCCGTCTGGCCTTGTCAGGAGCGGGGCACACCCTGTAATCCGGGCGGCCGTTTCTCTTCCCTCAATAATCCAGCGCAACAGGACAGGCTCTGTGCCCCGCACTCTTGTTTACGACGTCCTAATGAATGCTGTGAGTAAATAAATACGCCGGGAAAGCATGCCTAATACGAGGGGCGGGCCATCTCTCTGATGGGCGCATCCATAATGGAACGCGCTCTTCGCATTAGTGGGACTCATTTGCAGCAAAAAGATACAAGTTGTTCGACAGAGGAGCTACTTTTCATTCACTGTCAAGGACACGGAGGACTTTTGGCGAAGGACGTTTCGGGTTTTTAATACGCTTTTAGTAGTTTCACCTGTATGTTTGTTTGTGACTGACTCTTTGGGCTTGATTTTGCCCTACTTTAAGCGATCAGATTTAATTTAAACGTTATAGACTCATCAAGGACCAAAATATTTTGATAAGTTTATTATCCCATCATGATTAGGATCGCCAGGATGAGTGCTTTTATTTTAACTTATGAAGAGAAATTTAACCCATGTAGAATGAAAGTACCCGAGACATTCAAACCTACGTGGGACAATGGCACAACGCATAACGCACCTGACTACGGATCAAGAGATTCCCTGTTCGAATCCTGGCTGGCTCGACCTATTCGCATTTAGCCTTTGTTTTACTCACATTTAAATTATTGTAAGAACTATAGTTCCCGTCCTCCGCACCGGGCCCACATTTAAATATTATAGTTTAAAAACACTAATAAACACGCTTTTAGAGTTAATCAAATTAAAAAGTAAATTATACACTCAAGAGCCGAAACATTATGACCACCTGTCAATAACGAGTTGTCCCACCTTTGGCGCACAACACAGCTTCAACCCGCCCTGGCATGGATGCCACAAGTCCTTAGTAGATGGCCGGAGACAGATTGTACCAGATGTTTAAGCAACGGTCACGCAAATTCGAGATATTGCGAATTGGTGGTCTTTGAACTCTGAGCTGCCGTCCCAGGACATCCCAAATGTGTTCTATCGGATTGCGATCCGGTGAGTTAGGCGGCCAGGACATTAACTGGAATTCAGCATCATGTTCCTGGAACCACTCCAACACAATTTTAGCCTTGTGACAAGGGGCGTTGTCCTGTTGAAACATTCCATTTCCAACTGGAAAAACAGAGGCCATGTAAGGGTGCAACTGGTCCGCTATAATGTTCAGATACCCTGTAGCATTCATGGTCTGCTCTACCACAACCACGGGTCCCAGAGACGCCCAAGTGAAGGTCCCCCAAAGCATAATACCGCCTCCACCGGCCTGTGTATGACCTACTGTACATTGAGGGAGCAACTATTCGCCTGGAAGACGGCGTATCCTGACACGGCCATCGGCGTGATGAATGACAAACCGTGATTCATCTGACCAGTCAACTCTCTCCCACTGATCCATGAACCAGTCACGATGTTCCCGGGCCCAGCGCAGGCGCAATTGGCGAGGACGCTTGGTCAGCTAAGGCACACGAGTGGGACGTTTGCTGCGTAGCCCTATATCCAACAGTGTCCGCTGAACAGTGTGCTCCGGTACTATTCTACTTGGCCCTGCATTGTATTGGGCTGTCAGCTGAGCCACTGTCTGGCTCCGGATTTGCTTCACCATGCGAGACAGTCTCCGACGACCTTTTTCTTTGATAGCGTGTGGACATCCAACACCATGTCGTCTACTGCTGGTTTCACCGTCATTCATCCACTTTGCATAAGTACTAACAACTGTAGATCGCGAACAACCCACGAGTCGTGCAGTTTCGGAAATACTTGTTCCGAGCCTTCGAACCATTACAATCTGCCCTCTATCAAAGTCGCTTAGATTCTCAGTGTTTCCCATCACATACAGAAGTAAGTGAAAGAATGATTCTTCAGACTCTCCAGCAGCAGTTAAATACCACTTCCACCTGATCACGTGCCTTCCACGTCATCCAGGCGAGTTCATTGCAAAATGTAGGGGTGGTCATAATGTTTTGGCTCTTGAGTGTAGTTTAAAAACACGCTTTTAGAACAGTGACATTCATTTTCTCGTCAGTCATTTTATTCTTATGTTAACAATTATTTTTTACTTTTTAGATTGATTAACTCTAAAAGCGTGTTTATTAGTTTTTTTAAACTATAATTTATTTATTTCTCATCACGAGGGTTTGTTGGATAATACGAGTACAGTGTTCTTGGGAACTGAGAGAGTTGAGTTCGAAATCTCTCAAAATAGGGTTCCTATCGCTGACAGATTGACCGACTTTCTAAAAAGAATTAAAAACCTAAAACGATTCAAAAATCAAAAGCTGAAGGAATTTCTTTTTCTTTGGTGTTTTCTAGATTTGGTTTTGTCGCGGTTTTTGATTTTGATTTTGGGCACACATTGGGCTAAATTGAATGGGAAAAATAAAGTAAATAATTCATTTGATAATTTGATTGTTTAAGATTATATTTTATATTTTTATATGAAAGTAGTAAAAATGTAGATCTATTAAAATAAAAATGTCTATGTATGCCATCTTTAATAATTTTTGTTGAGGAGACTAGATTAAACGAGAATTAGTAATCCTCCTTTATCATAAAGACTTCTAGTGCCTAATGGCCAAGTGGCTAAGGCTGTGGCGCTGAGTTCCACAGGTTTCTCGGGTTCGAATCCCGGTGGTATCATGTTTGTTTGGAGGGGATCTGAATCCCCTTTAAACCGAAGGTCCTGGTCTAACATTATCGTAGAGGATTGCGGGGATAGTGTGACTCGCGTCCGTAGCCTATCTTCAAGCTACACGCGCTCCCTAAATCAACCGTTTCTGTATTGCCAGCTGCATTAGAATAACAACATACTAAAAGGAATAATTCAATTTTCAAGTATTTCAGAAGTCACAATTTAAAATCGTTAATATAATTTCATATATTCCCGATTTTTTTATTTCGTTTATATAATTTCATTTCTTACCCAAAGTAAACAAATGAGTACTAATTGGTTAATAACATTAAAAGTTTCAGAAAAAAAAACGTTGTTTTTATTTTCATTTATTTATTTGGTTCATTCAAATTTTGCAAAATTCTCAGTTTTTTTGATGACCTTGGAAATAAGAGCGTCATTGCCATAATCTTCATTAATTTTTTTTTCTCAAATTATTATTTAAAAAAAAAAAAAAAAAGTATGGAAATTATGGAATGTCAAAAATTCCGTGACATTCAAATGGAAATCGGAACGCGATTTAAAATGGCGCAGTCATATAAGATGTGGTATAACCTTGAAGACATCATGACCGTGAATATTAGTATATAAAGGATATAATTCCGCAGGAAATAAAAAGAAGTTGATTGCATTTTTGTTCTCATACTTAAGCGTGCTTCCATACAGTTTTATTCCTCTGCACCAACACGAAACGCACATGTGTAAACTCCCATGTAGCTACTCACGCTACCAGTAGACCACGAACAAATATACTTTATTCACAGGCATTCTATATACGAAGATCTGAACTTTAAATGACGTATTTCAGTTGCCTGTAGGAAACCTTTCAATGGCTTTTCCTTCATTTCTGTACTCAGGAGAGATTTAGGTATCGCTCTACGGTCATTTTGTGCACACGAGGGTTAAACAGACCGGTACCTACGGTTTAAGGTGGATTCCGAACTACTCCCATACATCCATGCCGCCGCCACGATTCGAACCTGAAGTCTGTAGTATCAAAGGCCAGAATGCCAGCCACTTGGCCAATAGGCCGCCGAATCAGATCATTAAGAAGTTCCGTCTGCAAAACTGAAGTGTCTCGCGGAACATGACATCCTATTCTGAAGAAGTTGAAATTTAGGTACAATGTGGAGTTTGTGAAAAAATTAAAAGAAACTGTAAGACATAAGAAGTTGAACAAGTGTGATAAGTCCAGAAAAAAGTGCCATCGCTTTAATTTATGTCAATAGGAGAATCACACACACTTTGATCACTTATTGTGATTCCATAATTAGAACATGAATAAAATTACTCGCACCTGTTATTACAAGCATGTGCTTTCATTTATAAAAAAAGTTATTAACAAATGAATAGATGTATCGAGTATTTTATCCTATTGTATATACCTTTATATAATTCATTCCATTTGATTTTAATTAACAGGAAAACATGCAAATTATACTAATATTAATAGATGCAATTGATTTAATTCATCACCATCATCATCCTCAATAACACGACAGCCCAGAGTGGTCCAAGGCATTTCTTTGAAGAGATTTCCATGCATTCCTCTGGGTGACAAGGGTCCTCCAATACTTAACCTTCAGTACAGCAAAATCTTTTTAAACTGCGCCTATCCATCGCAACTCGGGTCGTCCTCTTCCTCTCTGTCCCCGTGGCTTTGCCGAAGCGAGCCTCTTTACAGGGCTTAAATCATTCATTCTAAATACACGAGCAGCCCAGTTTAACCTATTGGTCTTAATACATTTTATACTATTTGGGTCTTTATAGCATTTATGAATTTCTGCGTCGTACAGTCTTCTTTAACAATCATTTTCCCCAACACTTCCAAGGACAGCCCCCTAAAATCCTCCGCTCAAAAATACCCAAAAATCATGCAATTAGAGGTTAGAATTTTAGTTTTTCTGAATTATGTGACTTACAATTTTTTTTTATGGTTAAAAAAAAAAAAAAAAAAATACTTGCTAAAGAGCCTACTTTTATGGGACTTTCACATAATTTCATTATTATTAAAAATACGAATTGTTGTTTTCACTTCCAAATCCAATGATTTCCTCCTAATCTTATGGAAATTCCACTTATGATTTTGCAAGGATGAAATTTGGGTTTGAAGGCATAACAACTCATTTCTCGTTGAACTGGTCTTTTGGGGCATTTCTGCAATATAGAGTGGCAATGAAGTTTTTATAGACTTGAAAAACGGGAATTGTCTTTTTCTGGGAAAAGTCCACTTTATACTACAATTGAGTATTAAGCACTTACAATTTAAAATCAAACTATTACAAAAAAGTGGTATCAAGCAGATTCGTTTGCTTTAGGATAATTTAAAAAAAAATATTTTTATATATTAATTATAAAAAAGAAAGCGTTAACGGTTTAAAGTTGATTAACAGGTAAGTTTTGGATCACACTGTATAAACTGTCATTCTGTAAAACTCTTCATGCATTAACGAAAAGGGGCTTGCGATTGGGTGTGACGAACATCTTCTGTCAGTTAGAGGCAGATGATTGGATCCCAGGAAGGGATTCTGGCTTCCCATGATTCCCTGCGGAAACGTTCACAGTTGCCGAGCTGCAATGTTAGCAATTTGTTACACTATGCCATTAAATGTTGTAAAAATATTTAATTTTCTGTTTGACAGGGCATGTTTTCCTGATTTGTGCTTGTTCGTTTATTGCTCACTTCGTCAACCACCATACTCTTACTGTAACCCTTAATTTCATAATATAATTTTGTGTATATAAATGTTATACAAAGGTTCTGTTTAAGGATTTCAATATTAACACGATTATCAAATGGAACAGTTGAGTGATGCTATTAAAGGATTAATTATTAATTATAGTGTTATCTGATAAAAAGAGTTATTTAAAAAGTAATTTAAAAGAGAAGAGAGTAATTTAAGAGAGTTAAAGTAATTTAATTATCACTTGGTGCTTAAACATTCAAGTTCCGTTGAAGTACTAATAGAATAATCAATTCATATAGTCAATACAAAATATTGATCAGTACACTTAAATAATGATCAATATTAGGTTCAAAAGTAGGTTCAAATAATGATCAAAAGTAAATAATGATCAAAGAGTAATAATGATCAATGTTGATGATCAAAAGTAGGTTCATGATAAATCAATATGCGTCACATAATCATCACACTATTTGGTGACGAATATCATGGAAAGACCTATTGACATCTTTCGGACGATTTCTTATAATGCACACACGTTTCCTTCAAGGGCTTTCTGTTTAGCCTTTACAGCCTCTCCTTTTCTCATCGCCTATGAATTCTGAATAAAGCTGAATTTGCTACAAACTTTGCAGCATCAACAGTGAATGAGAGAAATTAGGCTGGCAGAAAAACGAATAAACACACTCAGAAATGACTGGCGTTAAAAAAAAAAACAGCTAATACGTGTGTCATACGAAATGCTCAATATACGTGTGTCATATATAACTTTGCTGCTAGTAGACAACAGCAGGCAAGTGTGAAATAATATAGAAAAATAAATGTCTTTAAGGTTTGTTTGTTTTTCCCCTGAAAAGGAAGTCAGAAACGAAGCACGCACAAACTCCATTATCGATACTTTCAAGCGATTCTGAGAATCCATCATCTTAATCAAACAAGAATCACAAGGAGAACAGGGATGCCCACAACTCCAACAAAGTTCCATTTATGCAACATGTATAAACAGAACTGCCACAAAAAAGACGACATTTAAAATCAATAGTTCCAGCTGACTAATGTGATTGTAAACACAGCGCCCTTGCAGCACTTACTATTGGAGAAATAGCTAAATGACAGTCAATGAGCACAATAGCTTTTAATCAATGATTACCTAGTTAAAGATGCAAGCGAAACAGAAATCCGTAATTTCTAGGGTACTATTTAACTTTGTTTTACTTAAAATTCTTCCTGACTGGTTGTAAAAGGATCAGGGATTAGCATTTTAATGCATTTAAAATAATAATTGAACTGAGTAAAAAGGAAATAGAGACATAAATCTTGATAGACAGATGTCATTGTACATTGCTCATTGCTTAACATCCGTTAGATTAACAAAAATTTCACTCGGTTTTCATCATTGCAAATTCCACTTAAAATCTAGATCACAGAGGTCGAATTAGACTAATAGCATAAAGTTGTATAATTTTTCCCAGTTTTTAAAACTTCTCTTTTCCCTTATGAAATAAATTTTTAGTAATTTAATTTAAAAGAAAAAGCAAAGCAAAAAAAAAAAAAAAAAAAATAATAATAAATAAATAAATGAATTAAAAAAAAATAGAATTTTGTTAGTTTAATGGCATAATGTTTAATTTACAATGCTTCGCTTCAAGTTTTTACAAAATATTTATATATTGAAATATGTTTACTAAATGTAAAAATTTCAAAATGCCTCCCCTCAATTAACATTTACAAATATTATTTTAAACTTAAAAAAATATTAATTTAATATTGGTAAAGAATTATCTTTGAAAATACTAATATTATAAATACTTGTTATAACGTGCATTAGAATAGTTCATTCGTTTAATAAAATTAAGGTAAATTTTCTCACACGTGGGACTTTTTTAACATTAAATCGTTTAATTTTGAACGTTAATTTTAATAATCATAATAAAAGTTAAGTTTAATTTTTAACGTTTCTGTTTTTCATTTTAGATTCCGAACAATATACAATAATAATAATTGATGTGTAGTTTTTTTAAAAAAAATAATTATGTAATTTTATTTTGAAATCCAAACTATCATTATTAAAAATTTAACTTAAATAAAGTTGTTGGTTATATGGATTTTTTTTTGTCATTTGACAAAAAATTTTCCATGATTAAAATAAAATGCTATTTTAGTAACATTTCAATAGCCCATGAAATTATAAACTGAATCAAACCATTCATTAAATAATTTAAATTTCTGATATCTTCTTCAGGTAAGAAGATTTTCTTAAAATATTATAATTATAATTACTAA